AAGGATTCCTGTGCGGAATAGAAAAACATTTAGTGCAATGCTGATTTAATTTTGCAGAAGCAGAAAGGAAACTCGAGATCATTGTGATTTCATGATCATAGCTGGCTCTGAAGAAATCCTAGTTCATAAGAATATTATATCTGTAGGATCTGATTATTTCAAAGCAATGCTGGCTCATAATGTAAGTTGTGTTTATACGTGCCATAAACTGTTTGAGTTAACTAACTCTCTCACAGTTAGTACTGTAAACCCTTGTTAATGAGATTTTAATCGTTGGCATATCATACTTCAGAATGCTGAGACAGCGTCTGGTAAAGTGGAAATGAGAGAAGTTGATCCATTATCCCTGCAACAATGCATAGAATACATTTACACTGGTGAATTGTCTACTACTGATGCAAATGCTGAATCTTTGATGTTTGTGGCTGAATTACTACAGTTGAAAGGTGATGTTATGAAATAGATCTTTCTTATAGACTCAATCCTCTGTGATTCAAATTACCTTGACAATATGGAGTTATTTGCTTTGCATGTGCCTGGATTTTTATAGTTATCCCTGCCAGTATTCACTGTATCAAGTTGCCAGCTTCTCATTGGAAGGAAAACCTGTTACTCTTTTAATTCAGCTTTTCAAATATTCTGTCAAAAACTGAATTTATAAATTACTTATGCGAAATTGAAATTTTTTTTATTTTAGCGCTTGACTTTTTTTCATGTGATTCTATGAAGTTTCAGTAATCTAGGACAGGGCTACTCAACTATTTTTACCGTACACAAAACTTCAAAATTATTTGGGTCCGGTGTTTCCAGAAATTATATTTTGGCATCAGTGAACGAGCACTTTCTCGACCGGCTAATGATTATCAGCTACTCAAGATTGTTTATTATGGTGTTATAGTTCTTTTCATATATATTCAAAACTATAAAAGTCATTTTATAAAATGAAACTTTAAAAATGGGGCTAATGATCCAAATTAAAGAGTTAGGTGCGGTTCGAATCGAATACTCGAAAAGTCCGGATTCGGACCGCGATCCGCCAGTTGAGTAGCCCTGATCTAGGACGCTTCGCACAATGTTACAAAATTACAATATGCAATGAGTGTGAGGGGCTGATCAAAATGGAAGTGTTATTGCTCATAAATGTGTGTGTATAAATACATACAATATAAATGTTTGTTTTATGATAACAGATGTCTGTGAAGGCATCGTTGATTCACTTGAAGAAAATCTCGAATCATCTGCAGAATCATTTTTTGTAACAAAAAGAATCGCAAACCTGTACAGTTACAAAGAATTGGTTGGAAAATGCGAGAAGTTCATGCTGGATAAATTTGAGGAAATAGCGGAACTTGATGATTTCAAGGAAATAGAGGAAAAGGGATTTGTTAGATTGATCAAATCACGAGAAAACAAGGTATTTTTAGCGTTTTGTTAGGTTTGTTTCACTTCTTCCTTCTGAATAAGATTCTATTCTAGCAGCCACTTATTTAATTGGTTAAAGTTTTAGATTCTCAGACTAAACAAAATAAAGTTTCAATGGCTCAATAATAAGAAACTTCCTGGAAGTAAGGACTGTTTTCTTTATTACATATCCTGTTTACCACTTGCATTTTTATCAAATAATATCTAGGAATGACAATATCTTATTTGATAGCTTTAATGGTAAGCAGTTACTTTTGAATGTAACAGATGCGGCTTCATGTTCGCATGTTCTGTAATATTCTGTTGGCTTGCTAACCACTACTTTTTTCATGCAAGGTTTTCAACCACCCAGATATTTTTTAAATTCAACCTGGCTTGAAAGGACGCACTGTATTACAGCATTAGCCTACCCTATTTCTCACTTCAGTAAGGATGATAGGGTTGGTCTAAACCAGGGGTCGCGACCTCAAATTGGGTCGGAGTGATAAGTAGGTAGGGTCGCAAACAGGTCTTGGGGTTGCTGAGGTATGGTAGAGGATGCATGTACAAATCATCTAAGATTTGACAAACCATGTTAAATTTAGCAGTTTGTACCATGGCTTACTGTAAAACATGCTTATGCTATAGAAAATGTAGGTGCTTATTGGGACATCACTGTTTGTTTTTAGCTTATTTTAGTTAATTCCACCACATGACCAAACTCAAAAGTACAGTGAAAGAAGCTCTAAAGTTTCATTAAAAATATATATTTTAACCTGGGGTCGCACTGGACACTTGAAAGTTGTCCTTGGGTCGTCCTGAAAAAAGCTTGGGAACCCCTGGTCTAAACAAATGAGTTTTCACTCTTGCATGCCTACACCATTGGGTTAGCCTACTAACCACTTGCTTTTTCATCCAATTAATATTCAAGCAAATAATAATGCATGCCACTATTTTAGTATATAGCACGAATGCTAAACATTTGTCTATAACTGAGTATTCTTGATTCACATATTCTATATTCCATCTAGGCATCAGAGAGTGTCAAACTGAAGGCGTTGATATCTTGGATAAAACATGAGCAAAGAAATCGCAAAAATCTTCTGAAGAAATTGAACAACTACATTGATTTGCATAAAGTACCGGTGACTTATAGAAGATTCCTTGTTGAAAACGAGGTCGGTTATTCTTGAATTGATATATTTGAACCATTCATCTTTGGAACACATTGGTGATTTTGATTATGTTATTGGGATTTTATCTGACTAATGAACAGAGCTGTGGGATCGGAGTTTGGAATATTGCACCCGGTATTTTCAAACTATCAACTTTTAATTTCTTTGAAGTTAGATTTTTAGATAAAGAGGGCTCGCATGTGTCAAAGATTTTGGGTATAAATTTGCTTTTCTCGAAGTTCAGGTCTTAAGTATTTAAATATTGTTGCATCCTGGGGTCTGAGTATTTTTTTCTTAGCCTCCTGTATTCCTTCTATTTCCACGACATCAATAACCCTTTCTTTTAAATCATACAACATTCATTGGAATAACATGACGCACATTGGTTGTTTCAGCCAATGGTGAAGTCATGCCATGAATGCTATCAAACTCTATGCATCTCTATGCTGGACAGCTTAAACGTTTGTGCTTCAGATGTTCCTTCTGCTGAGAACATAAAACAAGAAGGAAAAGAAGCAAGTAAGTTGAATTAACATGTGGACAATAAAGTATACCACTTGTCAGCTAAAACTTGGAAATTTACGCAACTGTAGATTGGTTCCAATTCCAACTCGAACGATGCTATAGTCGGCTGTCTTTTCTTTTCTGATACAATATTTATTTCGTACAGTTGCTGTGTTCGATGAAAACTCAAAGAGCCTTCAATGCTTTAATCCTCAGAATAATACTTGGACAAAAATGCAGGTTAGTATTGGACAACCTTCAACTCATTGGTCTACTCCTACTACTATTTTCTATATTAGTCTCCATTATTACTCCAGATAGTAAAAACTAATTCTCATATTTTTTGTTTTTCTGTGATTGGATTGCAAGATGGTGTTGTGGTAGTTTCGCTTCGACATGTAGTATTAATGCGTAGTATTATATAACTTATTATTATTAATGCGTCACTTATTTTATTTCAACGAGAGATTGTGTTTGGCCATCTTATCGCTTTTCTTATTCGTTTTCCCCCTTTTATGATAGATTTGAACTCAGCTATCTGACTTGTCTATTTCACTTTGGTACTTTATTGAAGTATGTAATATAGAATTTACATATTTATCCTGGGTGAGAGGAAAGCCAATAAGACTTAATCATATGGCTAACCCAGGCCTCTCGTCCGTTTACCAGTCCATGTCAGGTATGGGATTAGTTTGTCGCAAGCATTGACTTGGTGGTGGAGGAAGCCGTAACCGACCAGCGGTTACATGAACCACCCTACGGCGGTGATGAGTACAGCAATCCTCTCGCACATAACCATCCCGGCATGGAGTTCGAACCTGCGAACCCACGCAGGGTAATCTCAGGTGCGGTGGCGAGCGTATTCTTACCGCTTAGCATTATGTGCCATGCCATGTGGACAAGGCCTTTTTAGGACAATTATTTGAGTGGTATTTGATTCTCTCATTCCACCACTCCCACGCATCTATCAACATTTAAACAAACATTTCTTCAATGTAATCTTGTTTATTAATATTTTCCAGAATCTACCTGAATCAGAATTTCGCTTTTCTGCTGTGGCACTTGGTGACTACATTTATGTTCTCATGATTGATCGATCTGTTCATCGACTGAAACACTCAGATCATGAAGCTACTTGGGAGAGAATGAATGATATGATGTATAACCATGGAGAGTATCTTTCTGTTGCTGTTTTGTCTGGTAAGAATTGCTTCAAAAAATCTTTTGCCAAACAATATCTTGTTACCTTTGCCTCAAGACTAGTAATTGAGTTTTCCAAATATCCTGTTGCGGTTTTATTAGGTGAGAAGTTGCCTCAAAAATTCTTAGTACTGGTCTGTTTAGGGATTTAATGACAAACATATTTTAGGAGCATTCGGTATCTAATTCCAATTCAGCCTTGTATTGTACCTATATCACTTCATTGTGGGTGACCCAAAATTCAATTGAACAAAAGTACTGATATTTTTCTGATTTGTAAAACTCGTCACTTAATCAAAGTGTACAAATACAAATTATAGTTTCATATTAACACCATTGAAGAATTATAACACAATCTATCTTTTTAAGAAATAGTAGTTGCTTCGTAAGATCATATATTTGAGTTCAGACAAGATAAGATATAAATGCCAAGACAAAAATTGCCAAAATAATTAGGATTGAGTCACATTGCTAAAACACACAGATCCGGACTTGAAAGTCTAAAGGACTTGAGTTTTTTTATACAATACACTAACACTCCTGTTTTAAGATTACTATTTACGTGTTTGAATATATCCCATAAAGATTTATTTTTTAAGTGAATGTTTTGTCATTGTGTTATCTATTATTATGACATCATATGTTCTTTACTTTATCTTCTATTATTTTACAAGTATCATTTACTTTCTATCATTGGTCTGAAATATAAATTGTTCACAGGAAACCTCTACGTTGTTGGTTCTTTCGGTGCTTTCTCAAGTTACTCAAAATCAGTTGAAAAGTTCGAGCCATCAAGCAACAAATGGGAAAAAGTAAAAGACAAAAATCTCAACAGTCGTAATTCAACAGCGCTGGGTGCTGGAGGTTAGAAGGTGTTGTCTAATAAATAAATGGGTACTCCCGAAATATGTGAATCAAAATGGCGGACACCGGAACGTAGTATGTGTACCAGATTGGGTTAGGCCATAATTTCAGGTACAAATACTATAGCCACTGCATCTCTGATTACCCTTCGTGGGATCGCAGGTTCGAATTCCATGCGGGGATTATTATTTGCGAGAGAATTGCTGGACTCCTCGTCGCCTTAGGGTGGTTCACGTAACCGCTGGTCGGTTACGGCTTCCTCCACCATCAAGTCCATGCTTCGAAAAAACAAATATTTAAAACTAGTTCCATAACGGTACTCGACATGGACTGGTAACCAGACGAGAAGCTGGGTTCGCCATATGGTTAGGCCGTCTTATCGGCTTTCCTCTCCTTCGGGATAAATATGTAAATCCTATCCTATGTCCTCGAATAATAGAACTAAATAGGGAAAATTGGAATAAATTATGGCCCAACCGTAACCTGGTACACATACTAAGTTCCGGTGTCCGCTATCGTGTTTCACATACTTCGGGAGCGCCAATAAACGTCATATACATTGAACTGGCTCGAAACAGGAAAGCATACAATAGGTAATAAAGGGAATTGTTGCTGGGCCATATAACCAACTTCAGAAATTTAGGGGAGATGGGGAGAAATCTGAGTGTTGACATGGGCCACACTAGATAACGTTGCGGACACTAAATAGCTTTGTCTGTTGCAAATCCCTGGTCTAAACCAAACCCGTCTTCAAAAAGACCAGTAGGTTGCTTTCACAAAGTGTTTTTTGAAGCAAACTTGCAATATACTTCGGTAAATAAAAAATGAATGCCAACAGATATCGGATTTATCGGTTTGTCCTAAGTTTTCATTGAATAGAATGACCAGAATGCAGAAAACGCTTGAAAGTAATAATCCTTGTATAATTCCAGGTTGTATATACAGCATTGGTGGCTATATATCAGGTCGTTACACCAACCAAGTAGAAAGATTTGACCCAACATCATCAACTTGGTCATTTGTTGCATCCATGAATGAGGCAAAGGGATGGGTCGCAGCAGTTGAAAATGAAGGAAAAATATATGTTCTAGGTAGGTTGGTGTTTGTTGCTAAAAATGTACGAGGACTCAATAAAAAAATATATTTAGAGGTGCCCATAATAATATTTAGTTTTACATAAAATAGCAATTGACCAGAATATTTCAATGATTGTGCTTCAAGGTATCAAAGGCAATGCAAACATGTTAAAGCATCGTCATCAACTACTAATATTCCATTAATGTTCTTCTGCAAGATCGCAGAATTATATTGTTATGTGGCAAATCATGTTCAAATGTTTGTATAATTATATATTTAGGAATGCAAAGGTCAATCCGATTGCCGTGCAACTTATAAACTCATAAATATATTTGGTACTATTGCGCCCTTCTTACTAGAAATATTAACCAGTTAGTGTTTGGAATTAGGAGTGATATTCAGACATAACAGGTTCGGAAATCTTCAGTTCAGCCAAGTTCAATTTTCTGCGGTATATTTGTAACGTTGCAGTGGTTACCCGCTATCATGTTAGTTCACTTTTCCCTTTTTATTTATTTATTGCTTTGTCTTGTGTAGGTGAGATTGTCAAAAGATGGATAAACATTGTTTTGTATCATTTTGGCAAAATTGCAAGCAGATTTCAACAAACTGTTTATTTCATTCAGGTGGATGGGCAAACGGTCACTTGACAACAGTTGAACGATATGATATTTCAACGAACGTGTGGTCCACGGTAACTCCCATGTTAACGAAGCGGAGCTGGTTCAGTGCTTTTGTGATTGATTCAAATATTTATGCAGTTGGAGGAAAAAACAGGTAGTGTTATTGAAATTTATTTCAACATAGTAGGGAATAGTGTCTTCTGTTTCTAGAGATTTTGTTCTGAAATACTTATTCCCAAAGAAATATTTGTTCCCCTGTATTCATCACTACACTGATTCTCAACCAGTGGGTCATGGCTCACTGCTTGGCCATAGAGATAGTTTGAAGTGGGCCACAAACCTATTAAAAATTACTATGGTTATTGAAAAGTTTAGTTTCATTTGTGCCATTATATTCATAATTTTACTGTAGAAGCAATGAATGATGCTGCTGCATTTAATCTAACTATTAAAGCAAAAAGATATTGATTTTTGCCAAAAGAGTCCTGTTTCCTTGTAGTTTTCCCTTTGCATGGGAAAGTTAGTGGGCCGCAGAATTTTTAGGCAACGAAAGAAAATAGGTTGAGAAACACTGTATTGATATAAGCATGAGGCCCATCGAGCCAGAGTCCAGACCATATTGACAATGCTTACAAAATAAACAGAAATCTTTACATTTTTTGAAAATATATTCATAACTTTTGCTAGATAAATGCTGTTGGTTTGAGCTTAATTCTTAGTGCAGATAGAAGAAGCAGTATATTTATAAACATAGTGAACATTAGTGTCTTCTGTTTCTAATGATTTTGCTACAAAAAAAAATGTTTGTTTCCTACATCCATCACTGCAAGCTTGTGACCAATGTCTATGTTTGTTTCGTCGACGATTACAGAATTCTTCCATTTTTTTTTGTAAAAATATTCATAGCTATAGCTGGATAAAAGAAAGGAGTATATTTATAATGCCGACTAGGAGTTTTGTATCAGTCTCTCACGTGCGGTATCCGGCCATTTTTACTTTTTCATACCTAGTCGAGTCAATATAGAAATTGAAAATGTTTTTTCAATCTTACTTCAAACTAGTTATCTTGCAAAACTGAAATAGTCTTCGTTGTATTTTTTAGTTCACCAGGAAGCATTGAGAAGTTTGATTTCACGAAGAATCAATGGGAGATGATTGACATAAAGAACATGAATCTGAAGATAGTCAATGCAGTGAAGATTAATTTGAAGTGATTTAATTGTATGTGACCGAGAATAGTTAGTTACCATTAAAGGACATACCTGTAGTTTATGTTTTAATCTTACCATTATGAAATTGTGTGATAGATATTTGACATTCGATGGGCACTTGTGTTACCACTCAATAAATTATGTATACTTCTATAATGAGTTCCTGCATTACTTATTGTAATTAATGTATATAGTTTCCTTAAATAAGTAATTGTTCAATGACTTTGCCCATAAACCTCAACTCACTGGACATAGCTATGTTTACAACTGATGTAGAGAGAATGTATTTTGAATGGTTTGATTGTATTCAACATCCTATAATTGTTTGTAGCATTTATATGAGAATTCCGATTATAACAGTGTGACAGAATTGACTTCCACTTAAAAAAAGATTCTTGGTTGATGTACATTTTGACTCCTGCTCTCGACGACAGAAAAACAGAGTTTATAAACCTTACATTAACACCAACTCCTCAGCTCTGATTTAGCTTGCTTATCATTTAAAGTTAATTTTTAGCAAATTGGAGTGGGATTCTATATCCTTGTTATGCAAAATTTGTCACCAAATATCATTGGAAGCGAGTGTTATATACAGCCAGTGGCCAGTAAAAATTAAATTGATTTATTAATCCCATTCAGTTTTTAATGCCATTGGATATTATCTGGGTATTATATATTGTCTCGTGCATTCTTCAAGTGGTTTCTTATTCAAATAATTTACTTATCATTTATTGATTAAAGTGTATGAATGAAATGCAATTTATATATTAGCAGATGCCTTTTTCCGCATAATATAATATATTCATTATAGTTTTCCAAGTTCGTCTTTATTATCCAGTGCATTGATGCTTCAAATTAACCCTTTTTCAATGCTATCTGCAAAATACTTATAATCCGCAGTATTCGTATTTGTATGTTTGTTGTGGGAACTATGGTACATAATGAATTTAGCTTTCAATATATGATAATGATTTAAAATATTTTCATATTTGCTGTATATTTTATCGCTTATATGCAATCAACACTTTACTACCATGCATCTAACGCTGAATTCAATTCTTCATTTTTTTTTTATCTGATTAATGATCCGCATGTTTGTCTTTTTAATCATATTGTTTTATTTGATTACGTTTGATGCATTTCAAATGTTTAAACTTTACATTGTGACAAACCCTTATTAAATAATCTAACGAATTAATTAATTTGTCCATTTCTCGAATTCCATGTCAATTTGGAGGGGAACGAACCGCATTTAGGAGAAATGAGCAAATGAATGGTATTATTATGTCATAAAAGTTGAGACCGTATTAGTGCCAACAGCTGTACTCCGACATACTAAACCGCATTTCATTTATTGATAGATTGAATTAAAGCCGGTTTTCCTATAAATTATCTCTGGAATTTTAGCATGTTTTTGCATTAATTCGTGACTTGGTGAGTCACTTGTCAGTGGTTAGTCATCCTCGCTATATGTTAATACAAGCGATCGATGTTGATTTGAAAAAAAACATTCGAGACCAATTTGCATGGGGAAAGAAGTTCGCCTACGTCCGACTTGTCCTTTTTTCGTTTACGTCCGAATTTAAAAACTATTTCCTATTATTCGATAATGTATTTTTACACGAAAATATACCGCAATATTCGTTCGGCGACGTGGCACATCATGCTAAGCGTTAGAGATACGACCGAACCTTCGATTGCTTATCATGGGTTTGCAGGTTCGGATCACAGTCACAGCCATAACGAATACAAGGATCGTGACTTTTTATTGGGAGGAGAAGTTTATAAAAACGGTGTGAAGTAAACACAAAGAGGCAACATTTCGTCGATGGGATTAAGTTTGCAGTACGGACGTTTGTTTGAATTCGGTCTACCGGGTTTAGTATTGTCTGTTACACCAGCCCAAATATAGCAGCAATACTTCACGCAGTAAGGAGTTACAGTCCACAAATGAAGTATGAACACTTTACTCAAAAATCTTTGATCGGCATATTTTCATTGTGGCATGAGACGGTAATGCTTGTCACGTCAGGAACAGGGAAACTCAGTCGATTATTTTGTCATAACAATTAGGTACAATGAATTTATGAGATATGCAGGCAACACAAAGAACGAAAAAATGTTTAGTACAATTCAAAGGAGAAACAGACATCACGTAGTATACAGGCCCATTGGTCTGCCTCACAGGTTGTAACACATTGACGAACAAGGTTCTAAGAACGATAGCCTGCCAGTACTTTTGTTAGTGGACTTGAGTTTCCATTGCTAGTATACAAGAAAGATTGCATTAGTGTGAAAAATATCGGTGGCTAAGTTGTGTGATTTCCTTGATTGTGTGATTTCCTATCGATGTTAGAGCAAGACCGGCAACACGTCTAAATCAGATAAAGGTAATCTCTGTTGCGGTACAAAAAATATAACAGATAGGAAATCTTCAAAATGAGACATGAAGGTACTACATACACAAAAAACAGAATACTGGAAAAAAATAGTCTTAAACAATTTATTCTCCCGCGTATCTTGGATTCTAATAAGGGCCGTATTCTGAAAAGCAACTTGAGCACCCAGTCGGACTTGACTTGGATGTGAGTCGGACTTAGGTGTAAAATCGGTATTAAGAGACCAAACTCGAGTTTCGAGAAGGGCTCAAGCTCAGCTTGAGGGGCTTCAAGTAGGCCTACGACCTGGAGCTGGCTTGGTATTCAAATACGCACAAAGTAGTAAATTAAAAGATACGAATTTTGCCATTTCGAGTTGGAACCTCGAGTCTGGTCAGGGGCTGCTCGACATCGTACTTGGGTATGGCTAAATCGCATTGTAGTGCTCGGTGAGTTGTGGCCAGGCAGATAACATTGAAAATGGATGTGTTATATGTCGCAGAAGTTGCGGAAATGGTCAGACGGCATACCGGACCTCGTAGATACCTGAAAGATCAACAAAATCCACTTGGGATTTTGACCGATGTACAGTTTGTTGATCGTTACAGACTCACAAAAAACGGCGTGGTATAAACTTCATGGCTTTTTTACACGAAGACCTAGCGAAGTCAACAATACGCTACCACCACTATTGAAATTCACCGTCGTGCTCCGTTTTTACGCAACTGGGTGCTTCCAGGTTGTATCGGGAGACCTTGAAGGAGTTTCTCAGCCAACTGTTAGTAGACTGGCTGGCCAACAAAATGTTCGAACGCAGACGATCAAGTTCTATCAGAAATCTGGATTTCCAGGCGTAGTTGGCGCGTTGGACTGCACTCATATAAAAATTCAGTCTTCTCTAGGTCAGCACGCTGAACTGTTCAGAAACCGTAAGGCTTATTTTTCTATTAACGTTCAAGCGGTGTGTGACGCAGACATGCTTCTCATGGATGTTGTCGCGCGCTGGAGAGGTTCAGGTCACGATGCCAGAACTTTTGACAACAGCTCTTTGCGGGAAAAGTTTGAAAACGAGACATACACAAATATGCTGGTGGCGTACAACGGTTACGGATGTAAACCTTACATTATGACGCCATTCCCGACTCCACGATGTGATGCTGAGCAAAAATTTAATAAATCTAGAATCACCATAGAACGCACTTTTGGGGTTCGAAAGAGGGTCTTTCCTTGCCTTTCTATTGGACTACGCACCGAGATGGACATCACGTTGACAATCATTATTGCGACTGCTGTACCTCAAGTGCCACAGATGAAAATAACAGCTCTTTGTCAAAAGCGTGTCAGACAGCAGAAAAATGTAAGCAAGTATCATCATCATTTTGGTTCTCTGGCATGAAATAACACAAGTGAACAGACAAACAAAATACAGAGAAAAATTGAAGTCGAGCATAACTTAAAAAAATAGAGTTGAAAAAGTACGCACCTACCCACCAAAAAAAGAATTATCAACAATAAAAGCACACAGAAAAATCAACAAGATTCAAAATCGGGCAACACTTAACACATACCTACTTCTAGCATTGGTGTCATATTTGCTAACTCTAAAAATGATAAATGAGGAAGTAAATTATTATTAACGACTTGGGACGTCATTCAGAATCTTTTACAGTTTATTGGTGATAAAATGATGTTACTTCATGGAGGATGCTTTGCATGCATGCTATGTCCTGTGTGACCCTGGTGATTAAAATATCATTTTCTGTGTGGACTACAAAGTCGCATCTGACAATGAGGTAGTGCAGAGTGAGCAGATGAAACCAGGCAGCTTTAATAAAATAAGTCAGTAGTAAAATCATTGTGATACAATATGTCCGTGAATGGAATTGTGAAATGAATCTAATTCTATTATTTTGTTGTGCTTAAAAGCATGTATCTGGTGTTTATTTTTATCCTATACAAAACAATATCTGGAAGACTATAATTTCATTAATTTGTAGTAATTTTCTTGGATTTACTTGCTTGTTCCTTCATCATATACTTTTTATATCTTGTTATATTCTATTTCTACACTGATTGAATAAACTATATTGTAAAACCTATCAGATACCCGACTGTTTTTGGTTGAACAGGTGTGATTGGAACTTTGTCTCGAACTAACTTTGTGGGCTTAGCACCAACTACAGACGACAAAACTGTTGGATCTAATTTGTTCCCTCCATATAGGTTGTTACCAATGCTGGGGAAGGCTTGTACACACTTGGCTCAGCGGAAAATCTTTTATTCCCATCAATTTCATCTGTTAGAGAGTCTTGGTTAGTCCAACGATAGGGCAACAAGCACCAGGAGTCCGGATAAATATGTAACAATTTTTAAATCATGGTTATCACTATAACATTGTTGGTCTTGTAATTTTATGTGGTATGTAATCGATCATAATACCTCAATAAACCTGTTGAATCTAATCTTTCAATAGTATATTTGCACCCATCTTACTGAGCTAATAGATCTGTGTTTCTATGATACAACATAAAAGTGCCTTCACGGTGCCTAGCATGTACAAATTGCATCAGAGACTTGGTGACTATCCAGCGACACCACTATTTGAAGATGATGTGGTGACAGAGACTCCTGAACTTATCTATAGCACTTGGCTTTGAAATCTAGCGTTGAACCAATATTGACGACTGAACCATCATGAATGTATCTGAAAAAAATATTCATCTGTTCATAGTCTAAATACAGATTGCTGTAGTTTGTGCAATGTTTCCTTTTTAAACTGCCCCAGCCTTTCATTAGGTTCTATACTACTAAACCCACCAATTCAGTCCTAACTTAGGATAGGATTTACATATTTATCCCTGGTGAGAGGAAAGCCGATAAGACGGCCTAATCATATGGCGAACCACGGCCTCTCGTCCGGTTCCCAGTCCAGGTCGGGTATGGGATTAGTTAGCCAGTTATTTATTTTCGGAAGCATGGACTTGATGGTGGAGGAAGCCATAACCGACCAGCGGTGAACCACCCTACGGCGGCGAGGAGTCCAGCAATTCTCTCGCACATGATCATCCCCGCATGAGATTAGAACCTGCGATCCCACGAAGGGTAATCAGAGATGCGATGGCTAGCGTATTCCTAACGCTTAGCACGATGCGCCACACCGCCGAGCGATCTATTAGTCTATGAACCATACGGTACCGGTAGTCACGCAGGTCTTCCAGTCCTCTGACATTCTTCAACCATATAAGTTATACCATATAAGCACAAAATACCGCCATCACCAGTGAAATGCCATTCGAAGGCCTTCAAAACGAGCAACTAGGCCGCGAGCCGAGGCCCTGAAAAACGCCTAGAAAGTGAGTTTCGTAGAGCACATCAGGTAACTACCTGGAAATGATTTTAAAATGTTCCTTAAAAATTTAGTAACAAATATTGCCTTGTTCCCACTTCCAAAAGTTGCACGTTTCAAGGAAAAGACGCCTTTACTACAAGAAATATGTGCTACGATCTGTCCTATATTCTCTCTATTTTCGGCAATGAACAATGACTTCTGCATGACGTAACAATTGAATCGAATCAGCTGTTAGCGAGCGGATGAATATTAGTTATTACTGCTCGACCTTGCGTTGAGTTGGGCAGTGTAGAGTTAAGAGGTTCTACAGGTCCTATTTCTGATTATTGGGCTGTCTTGTCAATCTAC